CCCCGGCAAGGCAGCACTGCTGCTACTAGCCAGCCCTGCGCCTCTCCAGACCCCAAGACCCTGTGGTCACACAGGTGGTGAGGCACCCTCTCTCCAGGTGCTTAGGGTGCTCCTGGTCACCGCGGCGCAGAGAAGGCCCTCAGGCCTGCAGTGCAGGTGTTGAGAGCAGGGCATAGATGAACTACACGAGCCTAAATCAACCCAAGCCGGTGCCTCGGCTCAGGAGTCACCTGCGAGCTGGAGGACAGAGCAGGGCCGTCTTGACTCCAGGGACCGGCTGTGGGAACCGGCAACCTTCCAGTTAACAACCTAGCACCGCCACACCAACAGACGCGTGGGAACCATTTGCCCAAAGGACTTGCAGCTCAAACGCCACAAGAACCCCGAGACCAGAAGCAGATGGTGCCCGGCTATCACTCACTGCCGATTCGCCATCGAGGGTCCTGGGACAGAGCCGGAGAAAAATAAAGACCCGAATGCACGCGCCTCTAAGACCAGACTCCAGGTCTCTGAACCCACTCCTGGTCCTCAAGGTCATAAACAAAAAAAAGCCAGGGCAAGAAGGCGGGAAGCAAGGGCAAAAAGAAATGGGGAACCTAGGGAGGGGGAAGCGGAGAGTGCTGGCTCCCTGGAAGGGTGGGTGGGGAGCAGGGGAGATTCTGGCCAGTGTCACAAAGCGAGGTCCTCATATGCAGCAGTTACACCCTGGGCGGGGTGCCTGGGTTGTGGGACAGATTTGGTGGAGGGAGGGAGGGAGAGAGGGAGGGGCCCACACATCTTGCTCTCTTCTTCAGTCCCCCGGGGCACAGCAAGAGGGAGCCAGTGACCTTCCAGCTCGGGACCTGGAACCTCAGGCTCCACCCAGCTCCACCACGGGCTGAGGTTCTATAAAGAAAACTTAACACCTCACTGGCAGGCACCCACACGCCACACCACAGCGTGCCGAGTCACGAGTCCACGTGGTTTGAGCACCGCTGCCTGGGCCAGGAGACCAGTTCCAGAATGTTCTGCCAGCACTAGACACGTCGGGCAGCGTCTGAAGCACCGCGGCATACTTGGCAAACTGCGGAGAGCAAACCGGTCCTAAAGGAATTTAGCATCGCCGCCCACAGAGCTACAGGCACGTAACTGCAGTCAATTCCAAAGCCTGTGGTCCCCAAGTGCCCCATAGGGCCTCTGGGCCGCGGGCATCCAGGCAACAGCAATGGGTTTGCTCTGGTCAATCACTACAGGAGCAAAGCACCACGTCTTTCTCCCGCAACTACTAGCCTTGCCCTTAGGACCTCACTAGTCACCATTCCGCCCTTTACACCCCGGGCCTGCTGACCCCTGGCT